CATCACACTCCCTCGGAACCTACGGAACTCAGGTCAGCCATCTCACACCGTCTAACTCACGCCACCTCTCCCTCCAAGCATCTTTCACTCCACCTGCAAGTAAGCAAGAAATACAGCCATGCTCACCTTTTCTAGTACTCCCCTTTTACCACAGTTCTAACCCCACTCTCCTCTCTCCTCAGTGTGATCGCTCTACGTACCAAGCCACGCTACAGTTACCCCTTCAAGCCCAATTTCACCCACTCTGCCCCATGACCACGTTACCACGCTACGCAGAGCCGCTGTTACATTCTGTGCTTTGTTGTGTTCAGATACTGACCAATATTGTCCCACCAGGGTTAAAATTATCAGCTACCTAAGGCTAATTGTCAGCAGCTTTCAAAAAGCCTCGCACTTCCCCTGAGCAATCCCAGTCTATTCATCTTTTGGCAAATCTCTCAAGCTCCTCTAGATTTTATTGGCTTCTAGCATGGACCTTGGTTCACTTCACACTGCAAATTTTTGTTTGTTTGTTCTCGTGATTGTCCTTTTTGAGACTACAATTCTAGACTCAAGTGTTTTGGCAGTAGTACTGGGGTCTTTAGACACATCTATCACTAGTTTTCTTTCTAGAGTTTTTTTTTTTTTTTTTTTTTAATCTTTTGCTTCCTACCCTGCCAAGCTTGTTGTGTTCTGTGTGACTCTCTTGGCTGAATTTCTTAACATTGCATATTGAAACTTGGAAATGCTGTGATAACTTTGTGTATCTATTTCTTGCTTAGAGATCTTCAACATTTCTTATTCTATAAAAGTATAAAAGGATTTCTTCTGTTTTTGGGGTGATGCGTTCTCAAGTGACAGCTCAAACATTGCGCAGCAGTGGCTTCTACTATCAATAAAAAGGTCAATTTTTCAGGGGGTTGATAATATTGATCTTGAAAATTATTATTTGTTATAAATTATTATGTTATTGTGTGATAATAGAAACAATTAATGTTTTCTCAAAAAGATTTGTGTGATTACAAAAAACATGTCGTAAAGCTGAGGCTTTATGCTCTCTGAAATTTATTCAATTATCTGAATGAATGTAAATGAGAGTATTTCTGAAACTCCACTTAAACTAATTAAGATCCCCATTAGCTACAGGAATACAGCAGATATTACACCTGGGATCTACAAATTTACTCTCTGAGAATACACAGCTTATAGAGACATAAACTTTCCTTCAGTATGAAACATCTTTCTGCTGTCTGTGCGCACTAGAGCGACTCACCTTTGGTTGCTGTTTTAAGAAATTCATTGCTTCTTCAAAGTGGTCCAGATGCGTCTCTGTGGAATTTTCACCCTTCTTATTGTACACCGCCATTGAGAGAACCACAAAGCCTTTGTCAGCCAGTAGACTGGGTCTTGCCTCGGATACTGAGGTGGGTAAATCCAACACAGCAGGAAAAGGACCTTTTCCTGGAAGAAAGAAAAAACGTTCTAATCAGCAGCAGGTCATATTTTAAATTTTATTCTTAATTTCTCTGGAAGCCAGTGAAGGGACGCAAGAATAGGTGTAATATGTGACAGTCAGCTATTTTTTGTTAGCAGTCTTTCAAACAAAGGTCTTGCTGCATTCTGTACTAACTGGACATGAGTTGTGGAGGACTGAGAAACGCACCTGAAATGTAAACTACAGTAAGCAAGGTGGGAGAATATTAAAATTTGAACTAGAAGTTTCAGATGACTGAATGACAGTAAAAGTTTAATTTCAACAATGTTGATTTAAAAGCTGGTTAATGTTAAATGAACTAAAATGAAGATAGAAACCTAGGAACCACCTCCAGTACCTGGAGGAGTGAACAAGACTCCACGGATGTTCCCTTCATTGACGGGGACCCTGGTGACCCCATCTCTCATTAGAAGCCTCTCATTTATCATCTCTGCCAGTAATCTGCCCTCCTCCTCATGCACAGAAAACTTCACCACCTGGGGGTTTATGGCATTTGTCTTTAGATATATTTTGTGCATGGTATGTGGCCTCATGGAACACAGCAGACCCATGGGTTCTACTCCAACGTAGCTCCCACCTAGCGAGGGGTCTCTTCTCAGGTCGACCTCCCCACTGCCATCAGCCCTGTAGGTGGCTGAGGAGCTGAACACCACTCCCTTGTCATCAGTTAATTTGGCTCTCATGTTGATAACCTGCCTTGGCCTCAGCCCGGCCACCTTCACCTGAATGGGCTCATCAAACATACATTTGATGCTTGGCAGCAGCTTCAGTCTCACTTGAGAGGACATCTTTTCTGAAAAAGAGAAAAAGATTGGACTTTATGAACGTAAGATAAAAAGTCCCCTTACACAATACTTTCTGTAAGAAATTTCAGAGACAGATCGATC